GATTCTCCCCCCGTACTTAATGGATTCTGTGATGTGTCATATGGTTACTGTCTCGATACGCAAAGAAGCTTTTCTGGATACGTCTTTCAACTCGGTAGTTCTACTATCTCCTGGAGATCACGCAAACAACGTACTGTAGCACATTCAACTTGCGAAGATGATTACATAGCAATAACGCTCGCATCCAAGCAATACATCTGGATTTTGCGCGGACTTTACCAATTTCTTAGAGATAATATCCCGGCAGCCATCTCGACTGACAATACGGCTCCCATTGAACTTGCTCACAATCCAAAACTAGACAATGCTTCGAAGCACATCGACATTGTCTATGATTTTACGAGTGAACAAATTGAAGACGGCTCGCTCACACTTTTACATATTTCTTCAGCTAAAAATCTCGCAGATATATGTGCAAAAGGCTTACTGAGACCTAGGCACTCTGATTTATGTACTTCAGTTTTCGGTACTGGTGCAACTATAAGCGTGTCTACTATCCCAGCATTAGGTGAGAAATGACAATTATCAGACTAACAGTTTTTCACTTATGAATCTATTATTGATGCAAAGTGAGGAGGGGTGTTGAAATATGATATATCTTGGAATGCCAAGAATTACTTATTTGTAAGTCTAGCTAATTTGACTATCAAATTCCCCATTCTATATTACTGTTATCAATACATCCTTCACCGAAAGTTTAATGTGCATTAGCGTTTATTTCACACTAGCATTTCAGCGGATGTCTTTTTGTGAAAACCTCGGATCAGCTCCAATCGAGCCTCATTGGGCTCCCACCATTGCGACACTCGGACAATCGGCTGCAGTAAGCTAGATGAGATTAGGGTACTGATAGCACAGCTAAGTACCTAATCACTCTGGCAACATCCCTACATCCGAGCGTTGCCTGGTGGACCAATGGGTTTAGACTGATGAGGTTTTAAGTTCCTAGGATGCTAGGGTGATAAAATGTGAATATTCAGAAATTGTAGGTCACAATGTCTCGGGATTTCTACTATATCTTCTATATAGTGAAATCTAAAGACAGTGTGTGACTCCCCCTCTAAATTTATAAGATGTGTCTAGTATATACAGGTTTCTAGCTTAGTGTGCATTATGCACAAAAACTGGGGTACACGTGCCAAATTATAATACAATATTTATGATCATGGATTCTCACTGAGGTGCACATCACTCTGATGGCTACCGAGGGGCAACAGTATATAATGTGAGGACAGTGTATAGCTGTACAATGCCGGGAGTTCCACACTAGCAACCAGTGTCAATAGTATGTTATAATAGGAAATATTGGCAGGGGCTATGGAAGTGGTTACTGTGACAGAAGTAGGAAGCACCTGTGATGAGTGCGTGATCAGGACTGGGGTACTGAATGTATATATAAGGAAGCAATACTTCTGTAGATGGATTGAGAATCAACCATCTCACTACTGTCCATTCCAATGCATCTTCACACTACAGCCACTTCAATTATATCCCCGCATCCATAACCATCTGCATCCATTTCAGGTATTCCTCTGTTCCCTCATGACCTTGTTATCATAACATGACTACCATGGTGCCACAATTTCAAGTTTTTGGTGGATTTATATGGGGCGCATGTTTGCTTCAGGGGTTGTACCTCTGTTAGCGCCCAGTTTGGCAGGGTACATAATTATTGTCCTGGATTTCCAGGCCTAAACCAAGGGCACAATTTGATTTCATGTCACCCTCAGTTTTATGCAAATCCAACCTGTTCTCTAGTTCTTTGCCATCACTTTTATGACCGCAGACTGCTAAAAAATTACACAGCTCTATCATCATGTGCTTGAGTGACAATAAGAATTGGATTTCTCAAATACAAAGTTATTTATTCAGAAGACACATGGCTTTACTCAATACTAACCTTATTTTACAGATGAATCCACCTCAAACCCTACCTTCAACACCTCGAATCAAACAATTATCCAGAGATCAAAAAATTTTATTAGTGGAAAAATTAAAATGAACGAATTGAAATTAAAAGAAATTTTAAGATTTGTGGGCTCCATGAATCTGGCAAAAACCAGACGCAGATTGCTGCGCAACTAGGCATTTCTCGGGGACAAGTTAGTTATTCACTGTGCCGCAGAACTGTCTCCCCCAAAAAAAGAAAAAGAAAATCCTCAAGGCTGAATGCAGATTATGTTTATCAGATTATATCTTATTTTAAGTCTTCACCTGGAAACCGCCGCAAAACATTTCTGGAACTCGCTTCTGGCCTCTTTAGGTATCTTGGTGTTAGCGAGCAGGTAATACAAAGAGAGCTTAAAAAAAGAGGAAATCATTGACATGTGGCTCATCTAAGGCCTCCGGTATCTCGAATGTGACAGAAACCGAGTTGGTGATGAATAAATCAATTTAATAATCTGTATGAGGAGAAAAGCTAACTCTAGCTACTACTAACAGGTATTTATAAGAGTTTATCCTTCTCGTGAATCTACAGACTAGTGACTTTTCCTTAGGCACAATACTTCTTACCCAGCCACGTATTTCCAGGTGTCACTAAGTTGTAATAACGCTTCAGCCTCCTGAGTAGTAGTGCCGTTTTGTTCAGCTTCATCTCCACCCCATACAGCCTCATCGTAAGGATTCTTAGTATCAGGCTTAGGTATCCACCTAAGCTCAAACAGCGGTCAAACCGTAACATCAAAAAACTATTGAGACACGCAGAGAATGGGCCGATGCTCATCTCGATTGAACATATGAAGACTGGACATCAGTTTTATGGACAGACGAAACTTGGGTAGAGATGGAAGACGTTCTAGAGAATGGATGATAAGAAGTTTTCGTACAATCCTCAATAAGAAGATGGTAATTTGATGCCCTAACATTATGAGCTAGACTTCCCAAAAATACAACACTAATTGTGTTGGAGAAAGATCGAAGAATAGTGTAGGATGGATGTTATGGGGTTGCTTTGCAGGGCCAGAAAAAGTCCCTTGTTTGTTTTGGGAGAAGGAATGGGGTTCCATTAACTCCCAAAAATATTGCGAGAAGATGGTTCCTCTTATCAATGGCATGGTCACGATGAGACCTTGGCTTTCCGTAATGCAGGATAATGCTCCTGCCTACACAGCCGCAATTACAATGGAAGATATGAGCCAGAGGCTCATTCAACCAATTTTCTGGCCGGCCAACTCGCCTGATCTTAACCCAATTGAAACTGTTTGGAATAGGATGAAAGATTACATCTAGCTTCATCATCTGAATCTGGGTTGCAGAAAGCAGTGATGTCAAATTGAAGCGTAGGCGTTTGACCTGAAGCGGAATAGAAGGGCGAGAAGAGGTTGGATGGATCGCGAGGGATGACTAAATATCTACTGGAGATAATTTGGAGAACTAAAGGTTTAAAAATGGGTAATATAAGTGTCGAAAGAGTCTAAAGGTACGAGCAAATACTAATGGTGACTAAAGTTGCTAAAGGTAACTAGGTGTGACTATAGGTGACCAGAGGTGATCCGAAGATGGTGGTTGTGACAGAAGACTAAGCGTGAAGAACTCTATAGCTACAGACCAAGCCATCGTACATATACTTGCTTTCCTCCCATTAGCTCATCATAACATAGGCCCTAAACTAGTACCAACATAATAACCAGTGCCGAGAACTGTTCTGTTGTCATAGCAACATCAGGAGAAGGGTAAAATTATGAAATAAAGTCAGGATGGGAAGGAGAATCCTTACAAGCAAACTCAAGATAGTCTTTGCAACATTGTAAAGGAGGCATGGGATTTGGTGTCTTCCGAAGATCTTGTGAGACTCATTCAGAGTATGCCAGCAAGATGTCAGGCTGTAATTGATGCGGATGGGGGACCGACCAGATATTAAGGCCTGAAAATATTTTAGCCACATGTTCAGATCTAAGGTTAGGATAAGACTGGCACTATTTTGTAATTTGAAAACCTTTGAACTCTTATAAATAAGTTATAAAGTCAAGTAGCAAAAGTGCATAAATGTTATTCAGCCAATCATTTTAAAAATTAGTTTAAGTACTGTCAAACTCGAGGGTACCAGGGGTTGTGTTTTATAGATAACTTAGAAGTGCGAGTGCTATCTGACAAGATTTGTCATAGACTAAGGTATTAATTCGGGATTCTAGCTATAACTGAGGACAAGGGACAAGAGAAACTAGGACAAGAGACAAGGTCAGTGAAAGACGGAAAACAAGACGTGGCCCTCTACATCGGCTCTACCCAACCCATATATACATCATAGTAACCAGAGCAACTAAGGCTTCAAGGGGTGCGCCTGCTGCTATTCTATTACTTCATTTGCAACCCATAGCAACCATTGTAACCCGGTAAACGCTCTAAGATGAGAGAATATTCCGATGTAGTTTAGGGAAAGAATATGAGGGTGCTGCTCTATCCTCAGTTCCTGACAAGTACGAAGGAAAGACCCACTGCAAACTATGGTGTCCAGATAAAAACTCCCATACAAATTTTTTCAAAAATTTGCACGAATACGGGGGCTAATCTCAATATGGAAGGTGACTATGCCTAAAGAGTTTTAGTTTTCACGCAAAAAACCCCGCTAAAGCCCCATTGCAAACTTGACATTGTGGCACCATGTCACAAAGGAATCAAACTTGGTATGACAAAAGTTTGAGGATTGATGATGAGCATGCAAATGTCTCAACTTGACAATAATGTCCATATAATTTTTTAGCCTTGTGTTTTGGTGCAGAGCCACAACTAAGGAAAGAAACAGAGGTGACTACATTAAATATGGAATCTGGCTACAAGTGAATTAAGAGTTATATGAGGAAGTTCACAGACAGAGATGCTGCATTGATACTGATGCAGAACTATTTTATTACAACACCCTCAGCCTTGGCAGTTTTTATCCTCTTTTGTATAGCTATAGTGCCATGAAGTGTTGCAAATTTCAAATTTCAAATACCAACTAAACTTCTCTTCTCCAGCACTTGCATTTAGAGCTGTTACAGCTTAAGCCCTGTTTTGAGCTATCCATGCCAATTAACTATGCTTGAATGGATTTGCTTCCCATTTCTAACAAGTACCCAGAGGTTAAGATTTCCTTCACTATCATTGGTGACATAATTTTCATCTTCTATGGGTAATTCAATTTTCACGTTGCTAAAAGTTAGGATTGAATTCTCACCATTGTGATGCCACTCATGATGAACACGAATGGGAATCAGGAATGGGTGTCCTAATTTTTGAGCTAGTCTTGCTACTCGATCATTTGGAGATCTGTGTTCTTCTCCACTCTTTATTTTATTTCTGATGGCTGCTCTGATGTCATCCATTGGGTTTGGAAACATTTCTGAACCAGATTCCATCCTTGGGATCAGCATGGCAGCAGAAATTGATGTCGCTTGGCTTAGCAGCAAAATAATTCCGGTAAGATGTTGGAACTTCATATTGTTCTAGCCTAGATTTATTTTAGCAAAAGATGCATATTTTGTCTGAAAACTCACACTTAATTTTACTAAGAGCTCGACTTATTTAACGTGAAGAAGTGGAATGGAACATAAACTCAGTGGAGTAGAAATTCGAATGTAGCTGATATCTGGAGACTAGAATGTGTTGGAGTGGAAGAGAGGATGGTTAATGTATATGAAATTAGAATCCTACTGTTATTTATAATGCTATAGCTATAACTGATACAATAATGGTGGCTTGTGGGCTTGACATAGTATCCAAGAGCTGACATGACTCATGAAAGGTTGTTATGTGTGACAGAAACCAAGCTGGTGATGAATAAGTCGATTTATTAAACTTTATGAGGAGAGAAGAAAACTCTAGCTACAACTAACAGGTACTTATAATGACTGATCCGCTGCGTGTATCTACTAACTGATGGCTTTCCTCCAGACATCATACTCGCTAACTAGCCACATATCGTTGGGTGTTACTTAGTTGTAACAGCAATCTTGCGTCCTGATTAGTATTATTGTTTCGTCTAGTTCCATCTTCCCCTCCCCGTGCGAACTTATTGTAAACATTCTAAGTATTACGCTTAGGTATCCACCTTAGCTCATGCAACGGTCAAACCGTGACATTATGCCATGAATCATCCTTTTCATGGTATTATATTGTAATAGAAAGTCCTGTGGAATGGTGAGCAATACAAGATGAGTGTAACAGTATGAATTAGGAACCTGTATTATGTAATTTAGATGCTTAATCCTTGCAGATTACATAATTATTTTGTAGAAGCAGATGATGAATTGTCACAGGTCACTAATTTGTGGCTATTTATTGTGGTTATGAGCTATGCAGAGGTCACATTCCGGAGTGATGAGAAGTGGATGATGTTGTATTTAGTGGTTGACAGTGAAAATACACATACAATATTATGCTGCAGGTGTATTGACAGAAAGTGTAAGACTTAACCTGTGTCCATTTATTGTGGGTACATCTATGAGACTATATATACATGCTTGCCTGACCAGTACACTAGTGTTGCATTCTTTGGGCTTGAGCCACAAGCAATGCCCTAGACTCAACTACCTTGTTGTATCATATCTTTCATGGATCATTGTGGCATAGCGTATTATGAAACGCCATGTGGACGGCTAAGTTAAAACACAATTAATAGTTCAATGCACTTCTAAAACCAGCAAGGAAGACTGATAAGAATGGGCTGGTTTCATTAGGTGATGTGTAGCAGATAATTGGGCATAGGGGCTGTGTGCTACGTGCTATTTGGTAATTTTATGTATATAAATACTCGGCGTGAAGAAGCATTATTCTTCACGCAACGTCTTCTTCAATTACTTTAACCATACATTTGTTTACCCATCTCTTCTTCGGGAAGACCATTTATCTATTTCCAGCTCTTCATCAGCAAGACCCACGTGTAGCCTCTATCGCTACTATCTACCTATTTGTCTCTTCCTAGAGAAGACCAGTCATTCCTTCGACCCACGTGTAGCCTCTATCGCTACTATCTACCTATTTGTCTCTTCCTGGAGAAGACCAGTCATCCCTTCGACCCACTCATCACCTTTATCTACCACCTAGATCTTCGTTAGACCACATACGCACCCTGTGGAATACTGTCCTAACCTCGCCCTGAGAATATCATAACATTATTGAGTATTGTGAGCAGACTTATGCTTGCATAAGTCTGTATCCAGTCCAAAAGCGAAAGCACGATCTGCGTGCAGGCATGTCAGACTAGAATGATGATCAGGGGCGTCAATAGGGTAGAACTAGATATTATAGTGCTACAATGGACTTGTAGCACAGTAAAATTATTCAATTCATTCTTGTATTTGCTTTCGTCTTTTGATGATTCACGTGACATTCACACGAAGACCTCTCTAAGTTTTACAAGTATGTATCTTATTACTAATGTTTTACTATTTCGGAATATTGGCCTGGTTGTTGTCAGAAACAGTTGTCACAGACTGACTGATGTGGAGATGGTATCCTGCCATCCTCTGGCTCTCAGACTGTATGGCTACTGCTATTTCATGGATAGATTCATGGTGTTGAGGTAGAGTCTGATCCTAGCTTCGGCTGATATCCCTCTAGACAAGTTCTAGTTACTTCAATAGAATTCTAAGCTACTCTGGCAATTACTTTCTAGATGTTTCGGGATGGTATTTTGTACTCTTACCAGTTCACTGAGCTTCGATTAGATTCTAGGTTACTCTCAGGAGTTCGACAGGAATTGTGTTGTGATGTGATTATTGCATTTACTCTAAATTTATCTCTGCCAAGTGCGAGGGATACACCACATCTATGCGAGTACTGCACAGCCCTACATGGCTATCATTACGATGGACTATCGAGGCGCAGCTCTGTACAATGGCATAGAGTAATGTGGGATAGTATTGCATGGAATTAAGATTGTAGTACTTCATGCATAGACGGTGATGTACTGTATAGCGGGTGCCAAATATGTGTATATAAGTCCTATCTACTACTGTGATATGTAGAATAATATAACCAAGCTATTCATCATATTGTCAAGCTCTGATAATCCTTATCCACCCTCTGCACTATCCCTAGAATATTCAACATCTCATACCTACTCATACCTTAATTACAACAAATTGGGCTGGAGCTAGATTGCTGTAGTCTGTAGCAGATAGTGTCGTAGTATCAGTAGCTGAGGTATCTTCATGTCGAAAGCCCTCCAGCTTTCAGTCTTGTATTATTCCTTAGTTATTCAAGAATCAAGAATCAAGAACCTAGACTTTTGTTAATATATCATCTTCACCATCAAGAATCCAAGATCTCACGCCTACCTTTCTCAAGTTAAGTAACCAAGTCCCAAGAGATCCTGAGAACAGTGGGTAGATGGCATGACAGAGACATTGATTAGGAAAAGGTATTCAGACAAGCGATTTTTACCTCGAATTACGCGCAAAATAGGAACATGTCTGATAGAATTGGAGACAGAAATTTTTTGACACATGGGCCCTCCATTTGTCTAGATTCCCCACACAATCTCACGTTTAGTAAAGAAGTTTGAATTAGTAATATGGTAGCAGTCTAGCCTACCAAATGGATAAATGAGCGTTTGTTGTACCTGTCAGTGAGCCTATTGGTTTCTATAGCCTTTTTTGGCCAATATAAGGTTGGTGTAAAGGTTTAATGAATTCAAATGTCCTTGAAAGACAATAATTCAATGGGAATACATGTCTTCTTCCTTGGAAAGCTAATCTACCGCTGTTATGAATGATGAGCACTGGAGATATTGTTGGGATAGACTTAGAGTCAGTTGTGATATAATGTACGAGAACTGAGATGTAGACTTTAGGAGGGATTATTATTTGCTAAAGTATGATGGATAATTGTTGGAAAATATGCTCTGTACAATATTATATGGATAAATATGATGAAGTAAAGAAGACTTGATATTTTACAACTATGTGAACATTGGACTTATATATACATATTAGGGGAGAAATTCCCACTAGTCTCATGTGCCTGTCAAACCTAGTGATGACCAGCCACCTCTCATCTACCATGATGATCCAAGGTACACTGTAGTACATAAATATCCAATTGTAAATGCAACAGTAGGCGCGATTAGCGCACTCGTGACATGTGTAGAGAGAGTCAATCTTGTCGGGAACCTGAGACGAAACAGGTAGTGGTTGAGTCCTAAATTCAAGAGTCAGAATTTCCAACAATAATGATGTGATCAATGTTGGACACTTTTGGAGGCAGTGCCTGACCACCTGTCTAAATACATGAGGAGCTGGTCCGTGCGCTGCTATCACTTCTCAACATCCTGATCCTCAACCAATCTCTACAACCACTATATAGCTTACCTCAATTGTGTAGGCACAGTGACTATGTTAATCCATGACCTAGACCATGCACGTCTCTGCGTTTTGTTAGCATGGACTAGGATTACAACAACCACGCCGTCTCCTGTGCTTTATATCCTCTGCGTAAACTAGTATTAACTCCCCGCCCTGACCACTTGAGGATTATTCTCTCTCTCCGGCTCCTCTCTCCTCCTGTACCATATTCTCGATCTAATACGTACCATCGCCCTTGATACCTTCTTATTATTGAAATGTATAACCCACTACTTAGTTCGTGGACTTTATTGGTAAAGGGAAGCTTATGCAATAATGAAGGATAAAAGGATGTCAATTCAACTACTCTACTAAACACAGGTACCAGACTCCTTTTAATCCCAATAGATAGCCCGTGCGGGATCTCCTATAAACAGCAGTAAACAACGCTAGCACAGGGTATATGCAATCTCTATTTGCCAAACACCAGTCGGTCGGGACTACTTATTATTGAGCCTAGTAGGAGCAACAAAGTGTATTCCAACACAGAAATAATAGAAAACTCAACAACCAAACCCTTCATCAATTACTTCCATTAACCATCACCTGACTTATCTCTGTACTCCATAATTTCAGCACTTATGCACATTATTTGTATGACCAGGGGCGCTTCTTTGTTATAGCTTTAATCTGAAGACGGAGTGGTCCTAGTGTCCAGCCCCAATCTGGGCTACATCTATCACCTCTGGCCAGACTTAGATGGCACACAATTGTTTGACATCAATATGCAGATTTATTATGCCACTCATCAGAATAACTGGGGATTAGCATCTGGCTTGGCTGAGTAGCAGTATATAATCTTATCGTTAAATTATACAAGTGTTGGCCAAACAGAATCCTCACTTTACCTTAACATCATGGAGTTACAGTTTTAATTAAGGTTTACTTAAGAGTATAAAGGATAAGGGGTTTTGAGATCAAATATATCCTATATTTGTAGATTCATATTAGCGTGTAGTAGAGGCTAGAAGACACATATTAGTAGGAGCATAGTTGCGGTGTTGAAGGGTGCTGTATGTACTGTAGGATACACATATTCTGTAATCCCTCTACTTTATCAATTCTAATTCTAGAGTAACTGTTTTACCTGTCTA